AATTTATATGGATCACCGCAGCTTTTATCTATCACTAGATTCATGGAAACGACTTCTGTGATTGTTCCTCTTATCAAAGTGGTGTGGCTACCATTTACAAGTCTGTGACTCCGCGAGTGTACTAGTAGATCGAAGTTTCATAGGAAATCGATGCCTATTATGGGCACTGATACATCTGTTATGACAAAGTCCCAGCGGTACGAAGCGTCTCGTCCGAAATCTAAGGACAATTTTCGTTTGCCGTATGTCTTCACATCGGATTTGTTCGCTGCTGTGAGTACCAGTGACGCATTAACGTTCCTTCTCTATTCGTTTACTGGAGGTACTACGCTGATTTCCGCCCCAGTATCAATTAAGAAGTGCGTGCCTGTCGTTCGATCTTGTGTATAAAACAGGCGACTACTTGTAGGAATTACGTTCGTTGATGCCGTCGCCATGGACAATCGTGGGTATCGCTTACCTGTTATGCTAAATCTACAAGATTGTAAACACTTCCTAGCTTCATAGCCGTACATTTGATGTTACCAGCACATCTAGGGAGCTGTGCGCCGCCTAGAAGCTGATCGGTTTCTGTCGTGCGAGCAATCTCGTGATGATCTTCGTGGCCTTTCGCTCTGTGTTAATTGTGTGAGCATGCGGCACAAAACGCTTCTTTCTTTCTGCAGAGTAATAATTCTATCGTCACGGTGTGTAACGAAGGGCTTGTTTGCTTGGTTCTTTCGTATATTCTATCGGCGGTTTTTGCTATGTTGTCTATATCGGCGTCCGTATCTCCGACAGCTAGGATCTGCTGTACATTTATCGGAAGTCGGAGAAGCCACAGTTGATAAAACAGGTTATTGTCTATTTGCCTATTGCCCAGCAGACTTTTCATATAACTATTCATCTGTGACGAAGTTCTATCGCCCATTTGTACCTGACTAAGGAGCTCCTCAACAGCTTGTTGGTCACTTAGAGAGAGAGAGTTTTAATTACTGCTTGCTTTAGCACGTCGTATGGCTTTCAGTGCCTGGTTTCGCTAACGCCTCTCGTACGCTATCTGCTACTTCATCTGGAAGGAGTGTGCTTGTGAGGCCGAATTTATCTCTTTGTAAGTTAATGCAGTTAGCCATAAAATAATTTTCAAGTCTAATAAACCAAAGCTTTGGTTCGGAAGATTAAGAGACCTCACGGACGGGGTTCGCTGTAAACTTGAGTGTTTTCGGAAGACACATTTATAAAAAATTTAAATAACATACGGATATAATGTAAGTGTCATAAAGAAAAATGAATGAGAAAAAAACAATGATAATAACAAATGGTACAATTTATGACAGAACAGACTTACTGAATTGCACCAATATATCAACTGTCTGTGAATAATTGTTATTTATCAAGATTATTATCGTCACGTTCAATAATGTTTGTGAAATAATGTACGTGTAACTAAAATAGTAATATAATAAATAAACAGTTATGTTTAGAGTCCATATGATAATCCAAATTGAGACGAATTGCGTTGAATTTTCGGAATTGGACTATATTGTCGAAAGTCGTTTCCTGTTCTCATGTCGGGGTTACTACTTCTGTAGTAACTGTGCTTCGCTGACCAATCATCCTCGCAACCGTTATCATATAATACTCAACGGTGTTTGAAATCAGAAGGCAAAGAGAACCAGTGACTACAGCTCTATTAGTAGATAACTCAGACCACAAAGCCGAGAGGCAAATGAATGAGTCAGCGAACGGAGAGTGTAGAGTGTAAATGTACATGTATATATATAGGGAAATGAATGGATCATCAAATCAATTAAGCACCTAATAATAAAGCTAGCAAAATGAATATATGCGTAGGCATATATACTTCATACAAGCACAACAATAATAAAGGTACAATAAGTTGTTATAGTACGGATGGCTCTGTCCGCTAAATAAGTCAACAAAAATGCTTAATTGAGTTAAATGAGAACAAACTCAATTGCACGTGAGTTGCTATATCAGTAATAAGTACAGAATGTACATTACGGGAGTGATTTCGAAGAACAGCACCACATTGAAGAAACTTTAGTAGACTTCGTAAGTATGACTGGCTCTCACCCCATTGAATGAATTGAATGTCAAAATATTAAACAATCGGTATTACAAGAAAAACGGGGATAGCATCGAAGAGCACCAATCAATGTACGAAGTCCTGTAAGACTTTTGGAGACGGTGCATGTCAGTGGTGCTAGTCGTTTCATATCTGGTTTAAAGACATTACTATCAACTGGGTATCCAAGGTATTCGAAATTAGATTCACAAAATGAACACTTATTTGGATTCTCGGTAATATCCTTTCCGATTAAACGACGCAATAAGTCTAGTCATGAACTACCTTATCAGAACCATAAACAATGAGATCATCTTAATAAACTTCAACAGCTTCAAGATCACTGACTACCGTAATCATAACTTCCTGAATCATGGCTGGAGAGCAACTTAAACCAAATGGAAGTAACTTATACTTGAACAGACTAAAAATAGAGTTAATTGTCGTCAAAATAGATGAAGATTAATCTAAAGGGATATGAAGATAAGCATCTTTTAATTCGACATTCGAGAACACTTTAGAATTATGAAATAGATTTAAAATACCTTCAGCCTCTACCGTCGTGTACGTTTGCTTCAATAAACGGTAGTTCAGTGATAAACTACAGTTACCTTATGTTCTAGGAGTCTTGCCATCCAACTTCAATGGTAACAATAGGAGTACCACATGCTGAAGACTGAGCCGATCCAACTATACCTTTCGCACACAAACCCTTCAATGTCTTATGTAATGCTTCTCGAAAACGATAAGGAATTATTCGTACTTGAAGCTTTATAGGCCGAATTTTCATACCTCCACTGCACTTAGCTATCAAATCCTTAAGTAAAACATCAGACTTTTCTTCAGAAACTAGTAACAACACCACTTTGAACCTTTTCAAACCCAGTTTTAACAGTCACGTTTCGCTAACTAAAAACCCACAAGGGGTGTATGAAGAATCATCATCTCTTATAAGCAATTCACAGCATCCTCGTATGGACAGTGTGTCCAGTAATCCCCAAAATCGAGACTTCAGTGGGTCGTACCACAACAAGTTCTAGAATGAACTCTATACTGCCTGTCATGAAATGAACCAAGGGATGTATACAAGGGCTTTTAAACGAGCATTACCTTTCGAAATGATCAATAAAGACACCCGAATTAATGATTTAAATTACATGGTTTACTACTACTTGAAGCGAAATGAACAGTAGTTTTGCACCCTATCTTATCACATTTAAAACCCTCAGCTTTACGGAATGTATATGAATTCTGAGAATGGAATTTGCCACAAGACAAACATTTACCAAACTTGCTCTCACCTTATATATTTATACGAGAATAGGAATAACTACTAAACGAACTCAAGTTTGGTCAGCTCTAAATTGTGTTTCATCATGACGACTGAACAGTATATTAGAAATTTTCACCGACTAGGTATCAAGTTCATTCACTACTTCACAGTTGATATATGCAGTTCTAGCGTACTGAAAGGGACAATTCAGAACTGTTAACAGTGCTTTCCAGATATGGTTTGTTAATTGCTGGATTAACGCATCTCACAGCTGCACATGAAGTTTGACATAAAAACTGCACTTGGCAGCTTGTTCAAGGATGAAGTTCCTAACCTTTTAGTTATTCTGACGAATCGCCTTATGGAATTTTGCCCTCTCACGAAATTTTAACATGTGCACTTTACATGATTTAATGGTAGTTTCCTAAGTGAGATAGGCTTTTCTAGTATGTCAGTCTTTAACAAAATGTAGGCTTCCCTTCCGATGAAGGCAAGTAAATGTGCCACAATTTCCTCACCCTTCACACCTTTCTTGCTAATGATCCAGATTTCAAACCTTTCCAAATAATTCTCAAAAGCTTCAGAAGTTGAATGCCCAACTGTTCCATCGAGACGCCTATACGATAATTAGGAGTATTTGAATTATAGTACAAACTAGGAATCCCAGAAATAACGCAATTTAAACACGAACTTTATGGGCACGGATGGATGTATTGTATCTTGAATTCGAAATCAAGCAGTCATCAAGTACAAAGGAATCATTGGTTTATGCAAACACCACATTACGGCAATGAATTAGTTTATAGATGACACATCGATCATCATTAAAAACTTTCCTTAGAAAGTTTGCTAAATTGATAAATACTCTTAGATGACATCCAACTCACTTTTGAAAACGAAAGTGAATACGGTCATTTGCCATTCTTACCATCTAGTTATAACAAATTCTGATCAAAATCTAAATTTAAACATACGCCGAAAACTGACACATTCAAAACGGTATATCGGTTTCAACTCTGCACTTCCCTTCAGTGCGAATATTTTCCTAGCTCTGAATCTATTCAGATGAGCTACCATTATCGTTACCTCAGAAGATAAGCTGACGGAAAAAAAAACGAAAACGGATATCTTACGATTTAATTAACTTCATATAAACACTAATAATAGCATGTCAAAACGAAAGGATTTGTCTTCAAATAACCCATATTATAGTTTTACCTCAGCTCCACTGTCCGACAGAATAGTTAAAACTTACCCTAAAAATGTACATAATTATAGCTTTCTATATGTCTACGAACTTTACGAAATGCTTTAGTTCGAATTAAATAAAAGATCCAATTTACATCTACATAGAGTTGTATCTGAGTATTAGGCTGTTTCGACTGTGAGGCGTTATAGATTGAAGTCCTCTCGTGAAATCTCGACCCGTCCCAATACCTAAGCTGCACGAAAAAGCTTAATAATCATGTAGTGCTGAAAAATCTATCGCACATAATATTTTCAATAACCAGTGAATTGATATCAAAATAGTTCAAAAGACTTTCACAGTTATAAAAAAGATAAGTAGCTGAAATGTTTTATATAATGGTAAATTCCTCTTGCCTCAAATATAGTAAAAGGCGTGGCTATAGATCCAACTAAGATTGTTTGTCAGCCAGCAACAACGTAGAACTTCGTACGTACATCAGTGCAAGTTGCCACACCACCTAGACTGTTTATCCAAACTACATTCAATTGTTACTTACTCAAACAATTAACAGATACACACCTTTATACACACAGTGATTTCTCACATAGAATCATCTCGCCTAATTTGATTTTGGTCATAGTAAAAATATTTTGCTCTGTTTCCTTTATACTATTTAAAACCTGTGTTAATTTATGTACTGACTGTCAAGACGTGGCTTACACAAAGTCACAAGGACATCACAAATCCAGATTTCTACTCAATCGGGATATCACGAATAATTAATTATTAAATTAGACCAAGTTTTTTTTACCAAAAAGGATAAATCAGATAGGTTGTTGACATCGTAGGAGGCAGTAAGTGATCATGTTTAAAGCCATATTCTTAACACTAATTTTATTACAAAATTGTTAGTCCTTGCGCAGATGCATTTAGATCACCGTTCTGACACAAATTCCTTGGTTTGCTTAGTCTGAAAAAAATGGGTCAGCTAAACTTATTCAGTTGCTTTGAAAAACGGAATCGAACATGCTATATGTGATCAATAATCAAAATGCCAGTATGAACAATCATGAACAATAAACAGTAAAATGGATTTAAAATAAATCTTTCAACAGCTATTGATGTACGACGATTTTACAAAAAAATAGTTGACCACGTGTTTCTATTTGTCCACTTTCCATCTGATTCGAGTATCTTCAATGAATTAATGATATAAGCTGTGGACCACTGCCTACCTAAACAGAAAAATTGAAAAAACTTCACTGAACATCAAAAATAGTGTTCACATAACATATATTCAACCTGCTTTAGACAGATATCAGATAACTGCGGTCTGAATACGTAGTATGATAAACAGAATATTGTGGAGTTCATGAGTCAATTGAAGATAGACCACCATGGAAAACCTGGAAGCACTGTACGACCGTTTTGTCTTATTGTGGGACTCCTCAGCAGTGCGCACCACGACCTCGCCCCCTGCAGATTCGAACCCAGGACCTAGTGGTTTCGTACGCGAGCACCTAACCACTAGACCACTGAGCAGGCATCCAACGGTGTTAATGTCTAACTTCAACCAATCTACGAAATTGCGCGGCCGTACACCAGTGTCTTCAGTGAGCTGATATCTCAAACAGACCTGGTTGGACTCCACTGGTCACGGCTTCTCACTAGAACTCCAGAAGTGTCTGGAATTGATAAGTTAATTAGTTTAATGTAAATTATAATCACTTAAACATGACAGACTACAACAAATTCATACCTCATAGAACATCTTAGAGATAATAATAATAATAATAAACGATAATAATAATCAGTCAGTTAGTAACAACGTAGAACTTCGTACGTACGTACGTACGTACATCAGTTCGAGTTGCCACACATTAGCACAGAGATGCAGTGGTCGATTCAAATCCCGTACTGCTAGATGTAGTAAAATTATAAGCTGTAATCAGAAAAGTTAGGGTTTGAAGATGTTATTCAAGGAGTATAATCCAGTGAAATAAATTTGGGAAGAGAAAAAAAGACAAGAAGGAATCAGGAGACTAGAATTTGGGAGAACACAAAGAGTGGATGCACCTGGGCCATTGCAAACGATTTTGAACCATGTCATTCAGGGTCTCTAACCATCGGTTGCTATCATCTCGCGGTCCCCAACCAGGTAGTCTACACCTAACAACATGGCTCAGTCCACTTGTCAGTGACTTTATGGACTTGTGCCATGTTTTGTTCTGGCCGCCCCTAGCTTTCTTCCAACCTACTCCTATACCATTGAACATCGCACGTCGAGGCAGTCAGTCGTTGGGCATACGAAACACGTGTCCCAGCCATCTCAACTGATGAAGTTTCACTACTTCATCAATGGATTTGCCATCCTTGCCTAGCACCCGTTTCTTAACAACTGCGTTACTTACTCGATAGTCCCAGGATATACGAGCAATATTTCGAAGTCACCTATGATTAAATACTAGTAACTTACGAATATCTTCTACTCTTACCGGTCATGTTTCACTGCCATGAAGTAGGACGGAACGAACTGCTGCACAGTAAACACGTCCTTTGGTTGATAGACGGATATTTCGCCTACGCGATAAATGACGCAATTTGGCAAAAGCTAGTCGAGCCTTCTGTATTCGTGCTGAAACTTCGTCACACACCAGACCACAAGGTCTCATGAGACTTCCAAGGTAAGTGAAGCGGTCGACACGCTCAACTACTTCACTCCCTATCATTAGTTCGGGTGTCAATGCAATCCAATCCTGAAGCAACATTTTGCATTTCGATGGGGAGAATAGCATGCCGAACATGCTTGCATTGTTGCTTAGAGTGGGCAGAAGACTGCATTTTGTCAGCGTCTTCACCAAATAAAACTATGTCATCAGCATATTCCAAGTCAACACGTGAACCTCCCGGTAGAAGTTCAACCCCTGGAAATCTAGACGAGGAAAGTGTTATCTCTAAAAGTACGTCGACGACAAAACTAAACAAGAATGGAGAGAGTGGACGGCCCTGTCGAACACCACTTGACGTAATCAATTCTGATGACAGTTCGCCATAAGCCCTCACTCGACCGGCTGTGTTCGAGTAGAGAGCCCTTATAAGGTTAATGTACTTCTTTGGTACTCCTTTCAGTGACAAACACTGCCATAGAACCTCACGATCAACAGAGTCAAATGCTAATGTAATATCTGAATTTTAGAATCTTAAAGGTATGCACTGGTTAGTCATAAGCGTAAGATATATGGATTCAGTCTGCTTGGTATAAACGTTGATATGAAACATTCATTCAAATAATTCTCAGGAGTAAAATAACTTGATTACTCATAGACTGGTCAGAAATTTAGGTACCTTTTATTATTCGTTAACATTTACTTTTGTCGGTTTATGACTACTGATAAGCTAATTATATCAAACTGTTTTCTGTAATATATTTGAATTATGTAGTTTCGATATCGTCATTTATAGCCATACTACTTTTTTGCACTGGTTTTTGATTTGCTTTATAGACTAATGAAAACCCTAAACCTGTTGGGTCGACTGATGCAATGCTTCGCTGCGTAAAAACTAGTGATTTGTTTAGGAATGGCCGTGTACCATCTGCTAAAATACGTGAAAAAGAGATTATTTCAGCCTTAAAAAATCGTGACTTCTCTGCATTGGCAGAAGCGACTATGCGTGAAAGTAACCAACTTCATGCTTTATGCCTTGATACCTGGCCACCCTGTATTTATCTTAATGAATTAAGCCATTCTATAATGGATTTCGTTCACAACATAAACAATTATTTTATGAAAAATGTGGTAAGATATTAAAAAAATTCATTTGTTATTTAAATGGCTTTAAAATCAGATTGTAGTGAGGATTTTAATCATTATAGCACATAAAGCTAGAACAGTAGATTACTCAAACAATTCTCCACACAAATGAAGCGGTAATTTTGTGAAGAAGAACAGTAGAGCGTAGATTTCTTAAATAAGTAACCAAAAATGGTATTTAATAACAGTACAGTTCAGTTAAAGATGTTGTCAAGAACGATTTTCAGTTAAGAGGGCTCATCTCTATTTGAGTAAGAATGTTATAAAGAACTACATCAAGATATTTACTGACTTCCGTTTCAAGTCGCGTTTGATAACGTCCCAAGCCACTAAGTTACAGCACCTCTAAGGCCTCAACCAAGTATGGGGAGACAGACTCGAGCTATATAGTCATGAGATTATATCATAAAGTGACCACCTCCACCTCATCTCAATTCCAACTTTGGCAAGTAGTGGGCGGTGTGGGGGCTGTAAGACAGCATTAATAAGGTATATTCAAGGCACCGAGATCACTGTTTCAAGATATTAAACACATTGGTACAAGGAAGCATAGTTGTAATACTGCATGGGTGCCCAAACCGAAGCAGGTGGTTTGCTTAGGGAGCCACACCCAGAGCCTTTGACCAAGAGGTCTAATCCACAAGGCAATGGAGCAACGTTAAGAGGTGCAGTCCCATGATAGCCAGTGACCGACGGTTGGTACATACGCCATTTCTTCCTTCAAGATACTGGAGCCCATGTGCACCACTGGTTTGGAATAAAGGTTCTCCAACTCCCCTAGGTGGATCCTCCATATCCACCGACCCGGTTAAAGCGCCAGACATTCCCTTTTCGTTCTCGATTTCGTAAACAACATTCCCGCCGCGAGAAGGTGGTGAGTAGGACTTCCCTGGCAGTGGTTGTATGCACATGGCCATGTGAGGTCATTTTGAGAGGGAGAACTGACTCTCCTCACTCTCTGTCGTACCAGGGCATTTGTGAGCTCGATGATAATTAATTAGAATAATCAGAAACATTCTGTAGTGTGTATTAGAAAAATAAGCTTGGAAATGAACAATAAGATTCAATGGAATGAATAACCTAGTTACTTACTTCAGTACTGATCAAGTATCTAATACCACCAGAAATAGAGGGCAATATTTTCAAGAGATTCTGTAATGAAACATCAGAAAAAATTTAAACGAAATGTATGAATGAAGTAAAGTTAGATGAGGAATATTATATTTTTTAAAATTTTTATTAATTTTGCTTCACGCACACCCAAGATATAACACAAGGATGGAGAACTGCTCGAAACAGATAGGTAACAGTATATAGCAGTCAGTATAGAGACAACATGAATGGATAAGTAACAAATATTTCGATACCCCATCATCAAAAATGATCTAATTCATTGATTGTATAAGCCATAGTATGATCGAATTCGACTTGAACTCGTTAACAGCAAAAAATGCAAAAAGCAACATCACTATTATGTACAAAAGTCTACTAAGGAATGATTGACAAGTAGAACCTAGTTCAGCAAACAGAATTACAATCAAAACGTGCTACGGTAAATCCTCACTCATGGACGCAAAAAAGCCACAGTAAAAAGACCCATTAGAACCGATCCAGGTCCAGGTTGCCATACCGCATCAACACAACAAGATGAACACCGGATTCATAATGGTGGTTAGGTCAAAGGTGGTAATATATAGGAGAAAGATTGCAATAAGGATATCGTATAGGAAGAAAGAATTAGTTCGTAGAAAGAAAGATGTGAAGTGATCTTAATCTCTTAGTTTAAGAGAAGACAGAGAGTGTATACACCGACGCCATTGTGATCGATTCTGAGCCATGTCACCAAGAGTCTCCAACCATTGGTTACGAAAGTCACGCGGACCCCAACCAAGTAGTCTGCATCTACCAACATGGCTCAGACTAGAAGTTAGTGACTTCAAGCACTGATGCCACGTTTTGGTTTGGCCGCCCCTAACTTTCTTCCAACCATTCCCTACACCGGTTAGCATTGCACGTCGCGGTAATCGGTGTTCAGGCATACGTAACACGTGGCCCAACCATCTCAGTCGATGAAGATTCATAACCTCATCAACTGATTTACCATCATTCCCTAATACCATGCGTCTAACCTCACTATTACTTACCCGGTGATCCCAGCAGATGCCAGCAATATTTCTAAGGCATCTGTGGTCAAATACTAGAAGCTTACGGGTGTCTTCTACTCTTAAGGGCCATGTTTCGCTGCCGTAAATTAAAACAGAACGAACAGCCGCGCAGTATACTCGTCCTTTTATTGATAGACGGATATCTTGCCTTCGCCAAAGGTGACGCAAGTTGGCAAAAGCCAAGCGAGCTTTTCGAATCCGTGCTGAGATTTCGTCAGACACCAAACCATTAGGACTGATCAGACTTCCAAGATAAGTGAAGTTGTCGACGCGTTCGACTACTTCACTCCCTATCCTTAGATCAGGTGTTGACGCAGACCAGTCCTGAAGCAACAACTTGCGAATCGGTGTTCGGTGAAGACATGTATCTACCTCAGACAATGGAAGAATGCTTGCGCAAGATCATGGGTCGATTGAAGTTCGACATTCATACCTTTGAATGCCGGCTCAATAATCCAGATGTTAGGCGATCGTGCACGAAACCGAAGGTCCCGGGTTCTAGTCCTGCATACAGCATCCTGAATGAGCAGTGATGTGAAGGCCCATACTACGACAAAACGGCTTCCAGGTTTTCAATGGTAGTCTAGCTTAGATCGACCGATGAGTTTAAACATTAAAATCACTATTGCCGATCACCAGCATTCTCCATCCAACTCTGTCCTGAGCAATTGTTTCCGGTTGATATTCATCCTTTTCATGTCTGCTTCCAATTCTCGACGAACTGTGTCCCTTGGTCTCCCTGTTTTCCGTTTCCCTTTAGCATTCCTAGTTAGGGATTGCTTCGTGATCCAGTTTAACGGTTTCCAAACTGTGCGTCCTACCCACCTCCAACGTCTTTTCCTAATTTCCTCTTCAGATGGGAGCTGGTTTGTTTTCTCCCACAGTAGTCTGTTGCTGGTCGTATCCGGTCAATGGTTGTTGAGTATCTTCAGTAGACAACTATTTACAAATACTTGTACCTTCTTGATGATGGATTTAGTAGTTCTCCAAGTTTCAGCTCCGTACAGTAGAACTGTCTTGACGTTCGTATTGAAGATTCTGACTTTGATATTGGTCGAGTTGTTTGGAGTTTCATATGTTCTTCAATTGTAGGAATGATGCCCGTTCTTCTGATATCGAAGATGGGCGTCTACTGAATCCTTGGACCGGTTCAGTAACATTCGAAAACTTTTCCTGGTACTGATCATAGTGCGGTCTCTATAGTCCTCACAATTGCTCAGAACTCCTTTCCTCGGTATTCTGATGAGTTGTTTTTCTTTAGAGTCTGTCGGCACATGTTGAACCTTTGTAATGCTGTTTTTCCAGTTGTCCAATGTTTCTTTATCTTCAGTTTCATCTTGACAACCACCAGGCGGTGGTCTGAGGCTATTTCAGCTCCTCTTTTTGTGTAGTGAAGGAGAACACAGGTGCGGACAACCGAATGTATTTAAGCACAATATACAGAGCATCTCAATAAAATCTGAGAACCATATAGTAAGTCGTTAATTTGCAAAATATCAATCCATCGTTTGAAACTTTTTTCTGGTTAGCGCTTTTTGGCAAGGTTGGTGATTCTGTGTCCAACTCTCCTCCATTATATTGGCTTGCGACCAGCAGTAACCCTAGAAGAGCTACAGGCGGATTTTAATGCCAAACACAACATACTGTTGCATACATGATAAGACAGAGTTAAAAGTGTGACACATACTTTAGTCAAATTTATTTTAATGAATTCGTATGACAATCATATTTTCCCTAGTAATTAAGTACGGATTTTTTCTTACTATTTTCTTATTATTACGAAGTGTTTTTCAAAAGTGATTACTCCGACCATAGAGATAAATCTCTCTGTAATATGAGCAGAGTAACAAAATAGTCTCAGAGACATTATTGAATACAATGTTAATTAGTGCTCTAGCAAAAGTTTAAAAAAAAACTTGTAAAATAATGTGTACGTACACAACAAGTATGGTGGCAAAAGATATGTACACTACAGTACATATTTAGCCGGGAAAAGTTTTCAAAAATACGAATGTGATATAACGATAATATGGATCATTGGTTGAAAGACTCTTTTAGAAATTCGTTTTTACTTCTGACCTATTAAAGTCAGGACAATTTGATAGTACCATTTTCGATGTGGTCAACGGTTAAGGGTAAAAGGTCGGTAATGGTTGCTGAATTAGATTGCATGAATTTTATATCGCTAAGCAACTAAAATGTTATTATTCAAGCAGTGTAGACGCTCAAACATTTATCGCAAATATAGCAGTAATTCCTGACAAAATGAGTTACATTACTTGCGAGCTAGTAATACTATACAGTTGATCATATATTGGTAAATGAAAAAGGGATAAAACTTCAAGACGCAATACTTAAGTGGTGAATAAACTTATAAGAAAAAGGCCGGAAATGGAACCAAGGACCGTTTCAGGTGAATGAGAAGACCACATACATGGAGATCTCCCAAGGAATGGCTAATAACTTCTAAAAGTCACTCATGACTCAAATACCTATTACTCAAACTTATAACGACAATATATCTGTATGCCAACTAAAATTGTTATTCATTAATAACTTCATTCTTCAAATAAGAACTACATCTTTTGACGGAATGGGTAGTACAAAGTGGCATCACAGATGACAGGTTTTGCTAAAATCTACTAATTTTAAGAAAAAATAAATGATGGTTAGTATGGATATAGGGGTCTACGAAGTCCTTGTAAAAGACGTAGAACTATAGTTTGGATAAAAAAATGAAACACGTGGCATATTGTCAGATACTTCACAAACATGATTGAGAGAATTCAATGACTATCTCTAATAGATATACGATTTTCGATAACTTATTGGCCGAAGCAATCGTCTTACAGCCACTAAGTTATAGATTTAGTCAATTAGTCACAATCACAGATAAGCCTAGTACAAATATGTATTAACCCAAGTTACAAAACCTAATAAACAGGGTAAAAAGAAACTAACGAGGAAAATAGCGAAGACGAAATGACGCAGTACCAACGATAATGAGGAAGACTAAACACTGAAAATGCTGTTCGAGAATATGGGATAAGAAGTTATATATAAGGGAATTCTGAAACACAAGATCTAGAGGAAGATAAATAGTGAATGCATCTAAATCATTCTGACTGTTTTTAAAACATATCACCCAATGTTGAACGATCGTGATTATCATGCGGACCCTAAACCAAGTGGTATGCACCTACCAGACCATCAGCTAATTACTTCATGTACTGATGTCATATTTCAATTTGAAGGCTCCCAGATTTCAACTTACTTAACCAAGTCCCGCCAACACTGAGCGTATTCAAAAACTTCACGCCCTGAGATCAACCTAGGAGAGAATATTTTACAATCGGAAGTAAAGGAACAGATCCCAAACATCCTTGTGTCGTTATTTAAGACGTCCAGGTAACTCTGCATTACGCTTGCTCCCTACCAGATAAGGAAATGTTAACTGAATACTCCATGTGGATTAATGGGTTTCCATGAAAATGATAATCCCCGATCTGCTCCATGAAATCAAATAAAAAGTGGTATTGGACAACATTGACGAACACTACTTGAGACTGACAATTCTAATGACGATTTGTGATAATCTATGACTGGATTGGCTTAAACATCACTACATCTACTTCGGTATGACCACCCAGACCACGTCATCAGACATTGTATCAAGTTTAGTTGGAAACCTAACTTACATAAACCAATACTTGATTAATTAGTTATGTTAAAAACAAATACAAATATAAGCGGGTAAAACCTTTCAGCAGAAGGTTCACATTTAAAACAGATCATAATCACTTTGCATTTCGAATGTTTCTTCGGAGATCAAAGTTACCATTTGTGCACTACATAACGATCATTTGAGTGAGAGACAAATTCTTAAGGTGCTTGGATAAGAAAAAAGGTATCTCGAATAGAATATTTTCAAAAGATAAAAAAAATGATTCCCCTAGAGAACTGTGAGAATTATTATCTTCTAAAAACCAAACTTGGAAAAATTACCTGATCTAATGGTTTATCTGAAAAACCATAGGGAATCCCAGTAATTTTCAGATACTTATTTGAATTCAGACATTTGATGGTAATTTTATCCGCATCATTAACAAAGCTATCGGCTCCCACCGTATAACCAAAACATTCAACAAGATATTTCAAAACAATAGAAATGTTTTGTGATTCAGTCAGTAAAAAAGCATTTGGACCAGCGTCAAACGTGTAAGCAACCTATACATAGGAAAAAGCATTCATTATTAACCGTAAAATGAAAATACCATCGGTAGATTTAGAGAACAACTTAACTGAGAACTTAATCTAGTTTAAAGTTTTTTATGCAGTAGTCCACCAAGATCTTGTAGAAACAACAGATATGGTTAATGTTGGCAAACTCGTTTCAGCTTCACTCAAAGAGTAAAAGTGACTGAAACACAGAGTGATAAGACATCTATGAAATGACAGCTTATTTATTTATTTGAACACATAAATATTCGTACGGAAGGGCACCAAATACATATGCCCCACATAATAACAATGAGAAAGTTAAAAAAAATTGAGAAAAAGAACAATAACGAACAGAAATTAGTGTATGATGGGAGATGCAGTTCGGTTAGCAAATATACAACCAGAAAGAATTTCAGTTAAAGAAGTTACGTCGTTTTTTATGAAGAAAAAAAATTAAGTTACAGCAGGATCGCCAATAGCTTCTATTCTGAGCCATATCTGATAACGTCTCTAGCCACTGTGTTGCACCATCTTTAGGACCTTAACCAGGGAGTCGTAGAGTACCGACAGGAACCAGTCATGTACAACTTTCTTTTATAGCACGACACCATATCGTACACTGACAACCTATATGCATTTTCCTACCAAATAATGCACAACGTGGAATTATCTGGGACGACATTCGTAGAACATGTCCAAGACACCGAAGTCGGTGTTTCAAGATAGTGACAGCAATAGACTTATCGTCTCTGTGCCCGAACACACGATGCCGAACCTCTGCATTACTAACACGGTGTTGCCACTGGATGTCAACAATCCTTCGGACACAACAGTGACCAAAACATAGAGTCGTCTAACATCCTCAACTCGGAGAGGACAGGTTTCACAAGCATAGAGCAAGACTGCTCTTACCGACACGTTGTAGATCTGACCTTTTACAGCAAGACTAAGATCACAAAGGCGACAAAGATGGTCCAGATTGGCACAAGCCGCTCCAGCTTTCCCTATACGTGAATTGACCTCACCACTCAAGTCACCACTAGCAATTATGCAGCTACCCAGATGCACGAACTTCCCGACTACTTCTATCTGCTCACTACCCAGGGTGAATGTATGATCAGGGTCTTTTCGGTCTTTAAATGATAGTGTATATTGTGGATTAACGTATGTGACAAGTCTGCTACTGGAACGCTTGTTATTACCTTCCTAACTACTTTCTATAACCACAAACTACTTATAGACGTCAAAAAGTCGACGAAATATAAAAGCAGTCATTACAATTTCGACAAACTCAGATAATGCAGTAAGACGAAGTTTATCAGAAGTGTGAGATATATATTAACACAATACCTTGTTAGTATTGACTTAGTATCCAGAGTGGTGTGAATTATACTGTTCTTCTTTATCTTTGTTTTTTATGTTCCAATTTTTCTAATCTGACATTTATTATACATAAATGTCTTAATAAATAAATGCGTGACCAGAGTTCAGAATGTATTGTACCAATATATTTTCTCAGTGCATTATTTAAATTTATCGAAGGAACTAAATGTTTTACACTAAAAAATCGTTTAGACTGATAACGCAAATGTGGACAGACAGTTAGCAGTGAGATAAAACAACTACTAAAAAGGAAACAACAGTGATTAACTCTTAGACCAAGTTACTAGAAACAACAGAAAGAATTAAGTTTTCACGAGTTCATCAGTCAGAGTTCAGGAGCAAGATACAATCCCGTTCAACGAACCCAAATCGCTGATTGCACTGGAATATAGCAAAGGACACATCATTTTTTGACTGTCAAAAGAATCAGTTAACGAAGCTTCTTAGACCTTAGGTTTCTTAATAACTCAATATCTAGCTGAAGCTTACAAATAACCAACCTGAGCGTGTGAAGTTCACTTCAAATCTGATAGTATATATGGGAACTATTAACAAGACACCAAGGATTAAAAAAGTACCCAAATTCGCAACTTTATCGGATGCTAAGTGATGTTAAGGCATTACGCACCAATAAGCAATGCTATGCAACTTGTTAGAGGGATATAGATTGGATTAAAGCATGCTCAATGCACGATTGCCTTAGTGCACACTGATTGTCTAATTCTTATCCAATCAGCGCTAGTTGTTATTTGGAGAACACTCGAGAAATCTCCTCATGTAAAGACCATAAATATACTAACGTTTGTCCTAATTTGCTTCTTACTTCCGTCTAAACTTGCTATATAATCTCTTTCCTGTTCAACCGCGTTCTGATTTGGGGACGTCGAGTGAACTGGTGTCCGAGGATACTAAGCAATAAGAATAGCTGGGTTATGATAAGAGAATTATAACACAACTATTAATTATATTTATTTAGTACCGTATATTTGAAGACGAATGTGCCGCTCAGTTGTTATGATAATATAACTATAGTTGCGAGGTAGTTCGTTTGTTAATTGTCAGTGTAACATGAAAGCCGATTCATGAAATTGGTTCCCTTTACGGACTTGAATAAAACGAAAACAAATATTGAGGCAGAATAATATGAAATAAAAATATTTCTTGGTTTCTCATCAACTGTTTGGAACCGTATATATATTAATGTGTAACATCGATGCACGATATGTGAAAAAAATTGACATTGATGGCGGAATTAGAATAACAAATATTATCAATTGTATATATATAAGACATCATTTATTAGGACGCATGAATATTTGTACAAAGGGACGGCAAATACATATGCTACATACACTTAGAGTTTATATCATTTGATTTTCTTGTGAGCTGCAATACCGCTCGGGTGCCCAAACCGAAGCAGGTGGTTTGCTTAGGGAGCCACACCCAGAGCCTTTGACCAAGAGGTCTAATCCACAAGGCAATGGAGCAACGTCAAGAGGTGCAGTCCCATGATAGCCAGTGACCGACGGTTGGTACATACGCCATTTCTTCCTTCAAGATACTGGAGCCCATGTGCACCACTGGTTTGGAATAAAGGTTCTCCAACTCCCCTAGGTGGATCCTCCATATCCACCGACCCGGTTAAAGCGCCAGACATTCCCTTTTCGTTCTCGATTTCGTAAACAACATTCCCGCCGCGAGAAGGTGGTGAGTAGGACTTCCCTGGCAGTGGTTGTATGCACATGGCCATGTGAGGTCATTTTGAGAGGGAGAACTGAATCTCCCCATTCTCGATCATACTAGGGCACTTGGGGGCAAGGCCGGCAACTGCAGACACGGTGCTCCGCCTTACGGGACGAAGCCCGATATGGGAATGGAACCCACGACTCTGAGATTAAGAGTCCTATGATTCAAATCACTTAAAATTAGATATTACTAAATTACGCCTGTTACTCCTCATGGAGAAGCACAGACCGATCACCAGCATTCTCCATCCAACTCTGTCCTGAGCAATTGTTTCCGGTTGATATTCATCCTTTTCATGTCTGCTTCCAATTCTCGACGAACTGTGTCCCTTGGTCTCCCTGTTTTCCGTTTCCCTTTAGCATTCCTAGTTAGGGATTGCTTCGTGATCCAGTTTAACGGTTTCCAAACTGTGCGTCCTACCCGCCTCCAACGTCTTTTCCTAATTTCCTCTTCAGATGGGAGCTGGTTTGTTTTCTCCCACAGTAGTCTGTTGCTGGTCGTATCCGGTCAATGGTTGTTGAGTATCTTCAGTAGACAACTATTTACAAATACTTGTACTTCTTGATGATGGATTTAGTAGTTCTCCAAGTTTCAGCTCCGTACAGTAGAACTGTCTTGACGTTCGTATTGAAGATTCTGACTTTGATATTGGTCGAGTTGTTTGGAGTTTCATATGTTCTTCAATTGTAGGAATGTTGCCCTTGCTTTGCCAATCATTTCCTTCACGTCTGCATCAGATCATTCTTGTCCATCGACGATGCTGCCCAGGTACGTTTCCACCTCTTCAAGATTTTTTCCATCACGTCTGATTGAGTTGGTTTTCTCTGTGTTGTATTTGAAGATCTTGCTTTTTCCCTTGTGTATGTTGAGGCCTGCTGATGCAGAAGCTGCTGCTACATTAATTATCTTCATCTGCATTTGTTGGCGTGTGTGGTATAGAAGGGCTAGGTCATCTCCGAATCCTAAATCGTCTGGTTGCATCAAACCCGCCCATTTTATTCCGTGCTTCCCCTCAGAGGTATTCATAATCCAGCCAACCATCAGAAGAAGAAAAAGGGGGAGAGTAAGAAGCCTAGTCTGACTCCAGTCCTCACTTGGATGAAAATAGATATAAGGCATTTCGTTATGGATTGGTGATGGTCTAGAGTTAGAAATTGATAAGATGGGTTATTTAATAATTAAACAAGATTTGAAGAGTTTACATAAGTTTAGAGAATTGAGTGAATGAGAAATTTGATGAACGAAAGGATAATTTTAGTTTACATATAATAAGAATTAGTTTGGTGGAGACCACATAACAAAATAAACACGAATAAAATAATCATAATATTGATAACAGAACATAATAATTTACCAAGGTAATGATGAGTTGGTTACTGTCTCTTTCTGGACACATAAATTAGGATTGAGTTCCTTGATTGCCACTGCTTCGCCAGACTGGAGACGCTACGTTTGTTTTGTCTGCCGGTAATTTTGAAGGATTGAAAAATGTCAATGGTATGCTTGGTATCAATTAAATGCAGGGCTATTGCATTATTTGGAGACATTGCGACTTTCAGTCCGAAATTCTTTAGAACGTGCACAGATATGCGGACATGTACTCTCCGTACTTCAAATGTGTACGTTGGCATGCACATGTAAGGTGGCAAGTGAGGTTGGAGGAACTGAGAAAAGAGGACCTGTCAGTTTTTGTTTGTTTGAGTCAGTCGTTAATTTTGTGTAATGTTGTCGGTCTTGCCCATGGATAGGCAATCTTTATAGAGGCATTTATTCTGTGGTTACCTATACCACATAACATCCTACATAAAGACTTTGATCTTATTTCGATCATACAGAAATACTGACTAACGAGGAGTAGGCAGGTTTTGACCACGTCGTTGGTGCATCGATCACATCGTTACTATCTGCCATGCTTACAGAACGCCAATAAACATTGCTTTTCTTGACATTAGAGTCGTCTTCGACTAGGCCGACATAGCTGTGCCTTGGTACTGTCTGTGGAACAAGTGTCCAGAACGTTAAGCAACATGTTGAACGTTTTGTACACAGACACATCAAGCAATGTGAGAGGACATAACTACCTCGAACTATCATTCCAGTTTATCAACAAAGTTAGATACGGTTGCCAAAACTCACCATTCCTCTTAAACTTCGCCGCTAATATTCTGGGAATAGATCCAAAGGACATGGTGATGTGGAACTGTCAGTAAGCTACAACGTAGGACCAGGTACATATATGCATAGGTCCAAGTTGCCGCACCTCATTAACACAACAAATGAACACCAAATTCTTAGAAGTAGTCACTTCAAAGGTAGTAATATATAGAAGAAAGATTGTGTATAAGGATATAATACATGAATAAATAATTAGTTCGTAGAAAGAAAGGTATCAAGTAATTTAAATCTCACGGTTTAAGGGAAAATAAAGATTGTATACACATACGCCATTGTGATCGATTCTGAGCCAAGTCACACAGTGTCCAACCGTTGGTTACGATAGTGTGGATCTGTCAACTGTAGAGAGACTATGATCTTGAGAAGATGGGTGATATTATCTTACTATGGGACGATGTACAAGCTACATAAATCGCACTTCATCAGTTGGTAATTAGTGTTCGTTACTGAGGTTCGATAGTATGTGTTTGGTAAGTGACGATACTTTAATACGCGTTAATATCTTGAAACAGTGATCTCGGTGCCTTGAATATACCTTATTAATGCTGTCTTACAGCCCCCACACCGCCCACTACTTGCCAAAGTTGGAATTAGATGAGGTGGAGGTGGTCACTTTATGATATAATCTCATGACTATATAGCTCGAGTCTGTCTCCCCATACTTGGTTGAGGCCTTAGAGGTGCTGTAACTTAGTGGCTTGGGACGTTATCAAACGCGACTTGAAACGGAAGTCAGTAAATATCTTGATGTAGTTCTTTATAACATTCTTACTCAAATAGAGATGAGCCCTCTTAACTGAAAATCGTTCTTGACAACATCTTTAACTGAACTGTACTGTTATTAAATACCATTTTTGGTTACTTATTTAAGAAATCTACGCTCTACTGTTCTTCTTCACAAAATTACCGCTTCATTTGTGTGGAGAATTGTTTGAGTAATCTACTGTTCTAGCTTTATGTGCTATAATGATTAAAATCCTCACTACAATCTGATTTTAAAGCCATTTAAATAACAAATGAATTTTTTTAATATCTTACCACATTTTTCATAAAATAATTGTTTATGTTGTGAACGAAATCCATTATAGAATGGCTTAATTCATTAAGATAAATACAGGGTGGCCAGGTATCAAGGCATAAAGCATGAAGTTGGTTACTTTCACGCATAGTCGCTTCTGCCAATGCAGAGAAGTCACGATTTTTTAAGGCTGAAATAATCTCTTTTTCACGTATTTTAGCAGATGGTACACGGCCATTCCTAAACAAATCACTAGTTTTTACGCAGCGAAGCATTGCATCAGTCGACCCAACAGGTTTAGGGTTTTCATTAGTCTATAAAGCAAATCAAAAACCAGTGCAAAAAAGTAGTATGGCTATAAATGACGATATCGAAACTACATAATTCAAATATATTACAGAAAACAGTTTGATATAATTAGCTTATCAGTAGTCATAAACCGACAAAAGTAAATGTTAACGAATAATAAAAGGTACCTAAATTTCTGACCAGTCTATGAGTAATCAAGTTATTTTACTCCTGAGAATTATTTGAATGAATGTTTCATATCAACGTTTATACCAAGCAGACTGAATCCATATATCTTACGCTTATGACTAACCAGTGCATACCTTTAAGATTCTAAAATTCAGATATTACATTAGCATTTGACTCTGTTGATCGTGAGGTTCTATGGCAGTGTTTGTCACTGAAAGGAGTACCAAAGAAGTACATTAACCTTATAAGGGCTCTCTACTCGAACACAGCCGGTCGAGTGAGGGCTTATGGCGAACTGTCATCAGAATTGATTACGTCAAGTGGTGTTCGACAGGGCCGTCCACTCTCTCCATTCTTGTTTAGTTTTGTCGTCGACGTACTTTTAGAGATAACACTTTCCTCGTCTAGATTTCCAGGGGTTGAACTTCTACCGGGAGGTTCACGTGTTGACTTGGAATATGCTGATGACATAGTTTTATTTGGTGAAGACGCTGACAAAATGCAGTCTTCTGCCCACTCTAAGCAACAATGCAAGCATGTTCGGCATGCTATTCTCCCCATCGAAATGCAAAATGTTGCTTCAGGATTGGATTGCATTGACACCCGAACTAATGATAGGGAGTGAAGTAGTTGAGCGTGTCGACCGCTTCACTTACCTTGGAAGTCTCATGAGACCTTGTGGTCTGGTGTGTGACGAAGTTTCAGCACGAATACAGAAGGCTCGACTAGCTTTTGCCAAATTGCGTCATTTATCGCGTAGGCGAAATATCCGTCTATCAACCAAAGGACGTGTTTACTGTGCAGCAGTTCGTTCCGTCCTACTTCATGGCAGTGAAACATGACCGGTAAGAGTAGAAGATATTCGTAAGTTACTAGTATTTAATCATAGGTGACTTCGAAATATTGCTCGTATATCCTGGGACTATCGAGTAAGTAACGCAGTTGTTAAGAAACGGGTGCTAGGCAAGGATGGCAAATCCATTGATGAAGTAGTGAAACTTCATCAGTTGAGATGGCTGGGACACGTGTTTCGTATGCCCAACGACTGACTGCCTCGACGTGCGATGTTCAATGGTATAGGAGTAGGTTGGAAGAAAGCTAGGGGCGGCCAGAACAAAACATGGCACAAGTCCATAAAGTCACTGACAAGTGGACTGAGCCATGTTGTTAGGTGTAGACTACCTGGTTGGGGACCGCGAGATGATAGCAACCGATGGTTAGAGACCCTGAATGACATGGTTCAAAATCGTTTGCAATGGCCCAGGTGCATCCACTCTTTGTGTTCTCCCAAATTCTAGTCTCCTGATTCCTTCTTGTCTTTTTTTCTCTTCCCAAATTTATTTCACTGGATTATACTCCTTGAATAACATCTTCAAACCCTAACTTTTCTGATTACAGCTTATAATTTTACTACATCTAGCAGTACGGGATTTGAATCGACCACTGCATCTCTGTGCTAATGTGTTTTGGCAACTCGAACTGATGTACGTACGTACGAAGTTCTACGTTGTTACTGACTGAATGACTAAGGATAGTAAATCGCGAGATTTAAAAATGTAACCTGCTAGGAAAAAGTAATCAGCTTGTTATTCGATATATTTACTTGAACACAGATATTGGTACAAAAAAGCAACGAATACATATGTGCAACACAAGTCACTTGATTTGTGTGTAGGATGTGCCCAAACCGAAGCCTATGAATCATCTACGACATGGTACGATGTTTTGAAAGATAGGTGAACAGAGATAGTGATATCAAGAAACACCAATTTGTGAGGTCAGACTACCGATCTTGACATTCGGTATGTGTCATCATGAATAGGAAATTGATTAATATCCCACGACCCAACCTTGTTTAATGTTGTATGATCTACAGATATCACTGAATGATAACAGACCATACTGTGATTCCTAATAAAGTGGTTATAATCAAAATAAAACTTCGAAACTTGCCACAACAAATCAGAACGCACGCAGATGAAATTGACAAGAGAAATCGTAGGGAAGTCGGAACGGCACTAGCATTAATTGAAGTAAGAATTATTAAACGCAGAGAATATGGTTTTGAAAGAAGGAACGGATTTATTTCATGCTAGTAAAGATGAATGATTTGTTACATTAAGGCTAAGAAGCCACAATTACGTTCTTAGTATTATTTAGTTAGGAACTGTCAGGAAACAGACTCAACTTCATAAGTCGTTAGTATTCCGTTACATAGTATTACTTCACATTGTCAATCGTTCCTAAAAACAGTGCAGCACAGTAGATTGAGACGTGACCAGACATTGCTCAGAATATAAACCAGTAGCGGTCATGCTTCAACTTTAAGTTTGATATATGAATCCCCACTTAGTTTTGCTCTTCTTCATCATACCTTCCTTTCTCTACCCCTTCACAAGTTTATTTGTGTGGCGTATATAAATTTTGGTGCCCAGTTGTAGCAATGTTTACGTGTTTAAATAAATAAATTTGTCAACCGGTTAGTATTTTAACAACTGAAATATATTCACAACAAATCAAAACCAAAAATACTGATAGAGTCCCCAAGATAATAAATTTAGGTCTTAAAGTGTAGAATGTTATGAATGTCTACCGCACTGTCACACTGCAAGTAGTGAGTACTGTTAATCTCCTGGATTTTTACAAATGTAGCCAACGTGTTTAGTATTCTCTCTACAAGTTTACCTTGATATAAAGAAAGACGAATTTAGTTTAGACCTCGAAAGACTTACCTATAAAATTCACTTGTTCTGTATACTTTGTCCTAACAATCACTGTGTACGTTGATGTTTGAGTTGTCTTGCAATATTTACATAGAACTGCAGTTTGGAACTACCTCAGAATTAATTTAGGTTTTAATCTGTTTTACAAAAACACAGGTGTAGTGAAAAGAATTCAAATAACTCTCTTTATTGCTTAAGTTTAAACACCCTCTCTCGAAATGCTCTTACATGGCCACGTCCATACAACCACTGCCAGGGAAGTCCTACTCACCACCTTCTCGCGGCGGGAATGTTGTTTACGAAATCGAGAACGAAAAGGGAATGTCTGGCGCTTTAACCGGGTCGGTGGATATGGAGGATCCACCTAGGGGAGTTGGAGAACCTTTATTCCAAACCAGTGGTGCACATGGGCTCCAGTATCTTGAAGGAAGAAATGGCGTATGTACCAACCGTCGGTCACTGGCTATCATGGGACTGCACCTCTTAACGTTGCTCCATTGCCTTGTGGATTAGACCTCTTGGTCAAAGGCTCTGGGTGTGGCTCCCTAAGCAAACCACCTGCTTCGGTTTGGGCACCCATGCAGTATTACAACTATGCTTCCTTGTACCAATGTGTTTAAATAAATGAAAAACAGAGGTTTCAGTCCCAGAACCCAGTATACAGACCATTTCGAGATAGACGAAAATAGAAAGATGTATTCAAGCGCACTTTAATTTTAAAGAAACTTTCTTTACCCCTCGCTTAATACTCCCGTGTTGCGTCTCCTTTTTTATGATTTGTAACAGTCTGTGAATGTTTTCTAAAAACTACTAGCCGTGAAGGCTTCATGAGTAAGGAATCAAGTTTTGACTGAAAAGTCTACAGAAGACAAAAATCAACAAATACTATGTTGAACTAGGTAACAATACCATAAAATCTAAGGCTGTCACTGGCAAGCTGAGGTGAAAACAGATGCCTTATAACAGTGCTAAGCTTCAAAGACCTTAAGTAACCAATCGATGATTTCTAGGATAATTTTCAAAAAAAATCATCGAGTTCACGAGGAAACTATGAATATGAAGGGCTGTATAGCCGTCATATTATTTTTCATACAGTCGTGAGACCTCCACAACTAGATCAGTTACATTAGGATTCTAGTCTTAATTGCACTATGTAGCATGTTCAATTCTGAGTAAACAATTGCTTTTAAATTATTGTAAATCTGTGAAGTTATTAAGCATCTTTTAAAAGAAATGAACCTCGGGCTTCAGTTATTACAGCAAACTTACAACGCAAATAAGAACTTTAAGCTCTGGCCAATGCGATGCAGGAAACAGCTGTTGGACAGAAGAGTGATAAGTGTGGTCTTTATTGTTGCTAGACCACTGCACAAACCCTCCTAGTAAGCTCCGGCATGATGATCCAGAGCCACGCCGTGAAAGGGAAGTGTAGTCGCCATTCAAGTCATACATCTTTCCTAACGCAAATGCTAAACGTATGAAAATATTGTATACACATACCGAGCGCTGCAGTCCCAGATGCACTAGATGCCATCCCTGCAGATGTCGGAAAATTGTTTTCGGATTCCACACTCAAAAAAGGAGAAGGGACCAACCTTCCTTCTAGTCTAGAACGCAACTGCGCTAATTTAAGGAATGAAATTGTCAGTAAAGACATACCAACTATTATTACATCTAAAAGCCTGCCTGGGAATTGCATGATCCTAAGAAATATTCACGAGCAATCCAATGACCCACTTTCCGTTAAGTTTGAACAGTGACTCTTTGAGGTCATTCTTTGTAAACACTGTAGATTTGGTTCCGACCTGTATGTTTCTTATAAGGTTTAACAATTTAACAAACATGAGACTGGTTTAAAGTAAGACTTATGGAAGAGGTGGACGGATAAATGTTTAAATCATCACTTTTACCCCCTATGAAATGTTGGTTTTCATAAAATGCTACTCACAATACTTGAGCAAAGCTATGTTTACCGGACAAGTAACTTCGACTTGCATTGGCGCCAGGTCACGTTAAAACTGACAGTGCCGCTTCACCATTTTTGCAATATCCAATATTCAGTCTTCAGTCAGTCTTCAGTAATAAGGATAGTAGGTTGATGAACCTGTGTTAATCCTGACACATTGCTTTCCAGTGAAGGTCCAGCTTTTCCTTGAAAGTATTCACTGATGGGGCTGATACCACTTGTTCGGGTAAGGCGTTCCAATGATTGACTACTCGATGAGAAAAACGGGATCCCACTTTAAGTTTATTAGATCGTGGTTTATGAACCTTCTTGCTATGACCTCGGAGATTATTAGTGCTGGAGGGAGCAAAAAGATAAGACATATTAACACCCAAATCATAATTAAAGATACGAAATGCCAGTATAAGGTCACCTCGTGTCCTACGATACGACAAGGGGAAAAGATTTAGGCGTTTTAAGCGCTCATCGTAAGGGAGTCTAGAAAGACCCTTCACTAATTTCGTTCCCACACGCTGGACACGCTCAAGGGAGTTAGTATCCTTTACCAGACACGGGCTAGCTGCTTGGATACAGTACTCTAAATGTGGTCTAACATATATGGGATATAAAATTCGAAACGTTTCCTCGTCAAAAGATTTGAACGCTCGGCGAAGTGACCATAACGCACGAAAACCTTTGACAGCGGCTGCTTTGCAATGCGCAGTTGTTTTTAAATCATGACTTAATATTACTCCTAAGTCCTTATGCTCTTGAACGCATGGAAGAGGTTTACCCTCAATAGTGTAACGGTAACTATTACCGTGACCGATGTGCATTAGTACACTCTTCCTAGCATTGATTTCTAAGCCCCACTCTCGAGCCCATCTAACTAAATCGTCTAAGTCAGCTTGAAGATCCACATGATCAGCCGCACTTTTTATTGTTCTCCAGATTTTTACATCATCTGCAAACAATAATGTCGACGACCTAAGTAACAGCGGTAACTCATTAACGTAGAGAAGGAAGAGCAGAGGGCCTAAGATGGTGCCTTGGGGTACACCACTTTTGACCGGCTTCCAATCGGATAGCGTTCCATTGACCCTAACTCTCTGTCTGCGGTCACATAAGAAATTTCCTATCCACTCATGTACAGTACCTATTATTCCGAAGCTCGTGAGCTTCTGCATAAGACCTACGTGTGAAACCTTGTCAAACGCTTTGCTAAAATCCATCGACAGACAGACCGTGATCTAGGGCTGCTGTCCAATCCTCCCTCGCAATAAGCAAGTTAGTCAAGCATGAACGCTTGTTACGAAATCCGTGTTGCTCAGGAGCTAACAGATTGTGTAAATCTATGTGGCTTAGCAACCTAACCCGAATTATCTTTTCGAGTAACTTAACGACTATGCTAGTTAGACTGACAGGCCGGTAGTTAGATACTATCTGTCGCTGACCGTCCTTAAATATAGGACTAACTATAGCGTCCTTCCAATCTCTAGGGAGTTGGGCGAGTGAGAGGGACATGTTGAAGAGTGTCGCAAGCGGTTTTGAAATAATGTCCGCAAGAGATGACAGCAACCGTGGATGTAACCCGTCAGGGCCCGGTATCTTACCAGGTTTGAGGTTAGTTATCAACGGAAGGACAGTTTCCTCAGTCACCTGTACGGATTCAATGGTTGGTATCTCGGTGTGAGTGGGACAAGTATTTGTTACAATAAACGTAGAGAAGACTTCGCTAAAATAATCTGAAAAAGTCTCAGCTTTTGCTCGATCTGATTCAGCTAGTAATTCTGAATTTTCGTGTAACAGCAACGGGGGAATACCATCACTACGTTTCATTTGCCGTTTAACATACGAAAACAATCGTTTCGGACAAGTACGGCTATCATATACTAACTGTCGTTCGTAAGTGGTACGGGATTTCGCTATGGTTTTCTTACAGATATTACGGTATTTTTGATACTCACGCTTAAATGGTGCATGACCTGTCAACAAGAATAAGTCCCAGAAATGTTTCCTACGCTTTAACAGCTTCCGGGTTTCCTTATTAATCCATGGAGGGCAATGTGATAGCTTACGTGCTGACCATGGGATAAACGGCGACGTTACGGACTCGAATGTAGCCTTAAACTTATTCCATTCATCTTCGATCAATCCATCCGCGTCGACCGACCAATCAGTCGAGATAGCACGGTTTCTGATTTCCGGAATATTAGCTCGCCAGATATTGGGACGGGGTGGAGCAGATACGAATTGTATACCATGTGTCCTAAACTTAAAGTGAATTACAACGTGATCACTGTTCACTAGTGGAGGAAGGTGCTGGATATCAAAGACATCCTCAGAGTGGTGGGTGAGGGCGAGGTCCAGCAGTGACGGATCATGATGCAAATCAATATGTGTCGGTTTTGTGATACATTGTACAAGTGCACACTGAATAACGGTAGATAAAAGGTCGCTATCGAAACCACTACCTGGAGCTGTAAGCTCTATCCAGTTGATATGCGGTGCGTTGAAGTCCCCAATGATGAGACAACATTCTGCCATACTCCAAGAACAGATGTGTCTTAGGATAAAGTCGTCAGCAAGACAAGACGGACTACGGTATATCCCCTCTATGTGTGTGACAAACAAATAAAAATCGAATTTTCCCTCTGAGGTCATTACGTGATGTTTCTGTGAGATTTCAGGTCCTTGTTTTCCACGACTTAGGTGACTTTGTTACTCAACTGCAATAATTCCATTGTATTAATTATATTGGTGATATTCCAGAGCTGAAAAGAGATTGGTGAATTCCGCTGTGTTGTTAAGTGACTGAAGTCCAAGAATTTACTATAAGGTAAAATCGAGTGGTACAGATCAACTGTGCACTCTCTTAGCACAATGGAGTGAGTGATATAAAAATTCAGCGAATTCAATGATCCGAATTACAGAAACGTTCATAAAAAAATTTCGAATATTTCAAGTGGTTCTGGACGGAGTAGAAGAAGCTTGGACTTGACGGGCGTCTTTGTCTAGTGACAGTGGATCGCCGAATCCTCCAGGCAGAAACGTGGGTATATTTAACGATAAAAGAGAAAGAATATTAGTAAATTATAGCGAGATGTTCTACCTAGTCCCTAAGAATATGTCACGTTTTCTCTAAAAACACTCTTGAGAAGACGCTAGTAATAGCTCAGCCGGCAGTGAATTCCAGCATTCGACTACTTTTCAAGAGTAGAAGTTGTGCCTACGGTGAGTTCCGCTGTGTATTGTCTCTAGTTTCTGAGTGTTACCCCTTAGGCTTAGGTTGAGACTTGAATTAAGTAAGTGTCTAAGTGAATGCACTGAATTTTAATTCATTAGAAGTTCGCCTCTAAGACGGACATACTCTGATGGGTAAAGGTCCAGTGATTAAAGGCGCGCTTTATTCGCGTCCCCGAACTGATTTCGTGGCTCGTCTCTAGATACGTTCTAATGAATTCTCTTCATTTTGCAGCGAGGGAAGGGAAACTATGTTTCCATACTCTGAATGGGGTCGATTAAAACTGTTGAAAATGAGGTAGAAGTTCTGACTAAATGGGCAACGCTTCAACGTTATCAGTGCGAAGTTTTCTCGGAAGGGATTTCTAACGCTATTGGTGCAATACCTCAGATCGTATGGTACCAGCACTCCTAGATATTTTTCAACTCGGGATACCTCTAGAGGCGAGTTACCTAAGTTAAAGTTATAGTCTGCAACATGTCTCACATGGACTACCTTCTACTTCGAAGTGTAGAGAGTAGATCCATTGTTGTCCGCCCAACTTTGAAGTCCTCCTGAAGAGCCAGTTAATTCTCTTGGGTACATACCTCTCTCCGGTGTTTCACATCATCAGAGAAGAGCAAAACATCTGATGGTGCCAGCTGCGAAAAATCATTCATAAAAATCAAGAAGAGAAGAGACACTTGTATTGAACCCTGAGGGACCCCACTAGGACATTCCATAGTCCGATAGAAAGAGAAGCTAACCCTGGCCTTTAAATGTCGATTTTTTAGATATGAAGTGAGCCAATCAGTTAAAGGCGATTTTGTAGTGTCAGTTACTATGTTAAGCCCATATACCTTGTTCTGGCTTTCGCACATCCCATTTTATTCATTCTACTTGAGTCATATTTTGACCTTGTCAATTATTCGCTTATCAGTCTTAACTTTTTATATGAGCGTATATGTGTGTGCCCATCTTATCCCACTAATCACATGTCTGTAGCTTCATTCTGTCTGACTATAAATATTGAGTAACGCTTGACAAAGATGGAGTTGGCTTCCCAGCCATCTTCCCTGCGTGTCATTTTGCTCTACTCTGTTTCAATCGCTTCATATACAAAATATATGTATTCACAAATCAATTCCCGTTGTTCGGCTTATTTAATTCCGTTATTGACTAACGCGATTCAAGTCGACGATGATATACGAGAATAGGCGATAGCAAACATCCATACGATCTATATAGGAGTCAGATCCTTTAAATGTCGATTTTTTAGATATGAAGTGAGCCAATCAGTTAAAGGCGATTTGATACCTAATCGTTTGTGCTTATTGATAAGACATATATGGTTGACCCTATTAAAAGCTTCTGAGAAGTCAAGGTATGTGACACCAACCTTCTCTTTGTGATCAAGGATGGTTGTACATTTGTCCAGCGCAATCAGCAGTCTGGTTATACAGGAATAACCGTTTCTGTAACCGCGCTGTTGAGGTGAAAAGAAGTTGGGTGGTAAGTAGTCGCGTAGACAATCTCATATCAAGGACTCCATAACTTTTGACAGTATGGAAGAAAGTGCTGTCGGTCGGTAGCTTGGAGGTTTGCTGCGTGGACCTCTTCTGAAAGTTGTTGTGATGTAAGCCAGACTCTAGTTTCCCGATAAAGTGCCTCAGCTTAGCGAATGTGAGATCATCACGCTATGTGGTGTCACCAAGATTGAAGCTGTTTCCCTCAGTATAGTAGGCTGAACAGGATCCGGGCCAGGGGATTGTTTTAATTTGGATGCCGAGGATTCTGATACACCAAGTCAGAACACATGTTAACCTCTGGGGGTCCTGTTGAAATGTAGGTGATGCTTTCGTTGAGATAGATGATA